CCAGAGAGAAAAGCAATCAGCTTTTCCGAATCAGATTCAACAATAATATTTTGAATTCCATGACTAACTCCATTGACAAGACCCTACACATTGCCAAAACTTTTAAAAGAGATAACAGCTAAAGAGAGAACCTTTACATCCCCTACTGAGATCACACCTCCTCTCCTGTTGATGATCCCAAACCACATTTACTGAACGATCCACCACCCTTGTGAACGGGAGTTAATGCCTCAAATTGTTCCAAACTCCATCTCTGAGCACAAGTAGAGATCTCCATTGTTAGAGTCTGAAGCAATCAAAGGAAGCCCATCCAATCCGTTCTGCTTTGATCCATCCCACCCAATAAAAGAGCCATTCAACTGCGACAAAGGATGATTTCCTGTAATTATTCAAAGTCCAAACCAAATGGCTCCAGCATAATAATCACAGTCCACGAATGCATGAAGAATTAATTCAGAGGAATTGCCAATATCACTAATTTCAACATGCCCAGCCTTGATCTTAGCCCAACACTGGAAGAGCATCATGACATGCTTGCCACAAAAAAGTACTGAATTTTCGGCACCACCTTATCTAAGCGCTGAACATTTTAGTTATAGTTAATTAATTGTAGCACCTGAATAAACAAAACAAAAACAAAAATGGCATTCTACTGTATAACAGGCATATTTGTTGCCATTGTATCTGTGTTGACTTGGTATACCTTGAAAATAAAACCCCTAATCCAATGGTTCTGATCTAAGGATAACAACTTAATACTGCAATATCTATGGGTTGAATATTACACCTTAGGCTTAGTTTGGGAAGAGTATAGTACGGTACAAATACATGCAAAATAATACAAAATATAAGCTTTTGCACTCTACAAATTTGTATTTATGCTCCTTCCAAACTGAGCCTTACTACTTGGCTGGTACATAAAATATTTAGAGGTTTCATCGATCAAGTCACTGGCCAACGCTAGAGAAGGACTTACTGAATAACAAAATCTCTTGCGACATTGAATTTGGGAGGACCACCGAAGAAAATTGGATGTGGGGTTTTGAATGCCTATTAAGATGAAATTGAGAGAATCCAAACAACTTTTCTTCATTCAAAAGAAATTGTGGTTGTGGATAAAATTCATGCATTCAAGGTGGGGAGATCAAAAGCTAAATCATTATTTGTCCGACCGCCCTAAGATTTTGCATGGGAGGAATGATAAGAGAGACCAAGAAAATTGAAGTTGAACAAACATTCTGTCTATCGATAGAAACTGGCAACATTAAAAAGAACCAGGAAGTAATTAACAAATTTGTGTATAGCATGCGATCTTCGTGTAGATAAAAACAAAGGTTTGGAATTGCATAAAACTGAAGAGTTTAGCAAAGTAAGCACACCTCAGAAAAAATGATGACTGTAAATGCAAATGAGATGGATTTCAAGTATTCAGGACAAGGAATATGATCTATTTATCTTTTACCTATTATCTACGTTCTTATGTTTACATAAAATAATCCAAATGTTTCTTCTGAAATTTTTATAGTAAAAAAACACTAATGCAAATATGATATATTTATCTTTCACATTTTGATGCATGATTAGATGCTAACTATGGCCATGGGAGTATAAGATTTGGACCTTCTATAAATTGTCTCTTCATAATAGAGTTCAAGTAAAATCTTGTTTAAGATTTAGACCTTCCATAGTTAATTGTGAATGTTGAAATAATAAAAAGCCCCTCATCTTTTGTCTTTTAGGCTTCCACACCTTGTTAAGCAATTTGAATGTGCACTTCTCCAGAATTCCCCTATTACATTAAGAAGATTTTAGCCACTAGTAAGTTTTCGAAGAGAACAGCCTAAATTTTAAGACTGATTGATATTACTTGATTGATTAGTTTGCTCCACTACTTGTTTGGATAAATCAGTACTCAATCTTTTACACTATAGTGAAATGATCTCTAGCACAGGGCTTCTTGTCATACTATGAATTCATTGGGTGCAAAGTTATTCATCATTGGGAGATCTGGGTGTCATTTGACAAGTCTTTTTTGAAAGATCTTGCAGAAAATTTGACAACCAAAAGATGATGTGAGATTTTGCATTAAGACCTGAAAACTGTTTGTTTAAGATGTATCTTTTTGTACAAGGACGTGATGAAAAAAGTCGAAAAGCTCCATTTGAAGCTTTTCGAAAATAGCCCAAAATGGACTTTGCACATCTTTTTGGGGCATCATCTTTTGACGGTTAGATCTTTTCCTAATCAAACAGGAAAATACCAAAACATAGACTGTCGAGCTTCTAAACAGCTAACAGCCCGCGCAGAAAGACACACCAAACAGGGCCTAGTCTTTGGAAAAAATCTATAATAACGAAAAGATATGATATGGAAAAAGCTTTAACCAATCACAATCTCGTAAGTTTTGGTGAAAATCCACCTGATTGGTCCCTACTTCTACTTAAATATGACCAAATTTTTGCTAGCAATCATGATCAATTTTATGAAAATCAATTGCACTGCTCAAAACGCCTGGGGGGAATGTTTCATTTGGTTTACAAATACAATCGGCATTCTGATGTTTTGTATGCTATTTCCATACTCCGGATCTCCTGCCCACGAAAGCTCTACCCACACCTACCCACAAAATACTACTTCTATGCATTGGAAATATCTCCCCGTGTGACTGCGATGTACCCACATGTAAGAAGATGAGATGTTCCCCATGTGTGACTGTGATGTTATGTGAGTAAGTGTGGGTTGGAAATCCAAACTCCTATTTCAATAGTTATATAACCACCTTTTTTAATTAAAAAGCATGATCTGCTTATATAAGCATATGACATGGTAGTTATATGATGTGTTTAATACACCAATATAGCTCCAGTCATAATGTCTCTATTTGATAATAACTATCAATGGCAATGGGGTGGGAACCATACTTCCCATCTTGGACCTTGACTTTGAATCCTTGTCTCCAATCTCGATCCCCACTAGAGATAAAAATGACCTTCCATCTCCAATTCCCAATCGAGACAGGTTTCTTGTCGGGGACCCAAATCTCCAAAATTTTTGAATTAAAAATTTTTTAGCAAATACATTTACTTAAAATAAGAAACGTTTTTTTTTCAATATAAAAATACTTTAAATATATTTTGATATATAATATAAGTAATATCATAAATAATATTATATATGCATATATTTAATATATAATTGGGGTTGGGATGGGGTGAGGAATTCACTCCCCATCCTTGGTCGGGTATCACTAACAATCCCCATCCTTATCCTTGTCCCTACCATTAGGTCAGGGAAGCTAGGTACCAAGTAGGAATGGAAAAATTGCCATCCCTAAACTTTATGAGCAAAAGTAGATAGTAAAAATACACATAATACATGGATCATATACACTCAATGCTCACAAATTATGGTTCAAAAAATGAACTATAGCAAAACAATATCTTTTACATTGTGTAGTTCCAAATTTAAAAAAAAAAAGATAGGTATGGTATTAGTACCAAACCACCCTTTATTAAAACTAGGGGTGTTCATGTGTTAAGCAAACCCATGAGCCTAATTTTCAAACCGAACCAGTAGTATCATTTTTTTTTGGAAAACCGATAATCAAAATTGAACCAAAGTCGATCGGTTTGGTTAACTGCCGATTCGGTTTATTGGTTTTTCGGTTTTTATAAAATATATTATAAATAAATACATAAATATATAAATATATAATAAAAAATTAGAAATGCATATAAAATATTATATTATAAATATATATTATATATATACCGTATATATATTCATTTATAATATATAGATAATATAAAATATATACGAATATATATATATATATATACCAATCAATTTGGTTAACCACTGTTTTTTATATTGGTTAATTGAAATTAAACCAATCAATTTGATTAACTAGAATTTTTTGTTCGATTTTTCTTTATCACTCCTACTTAGAACCATAAACTGACTTAAGGGTATATTAGATAATATTTGGATAGTGATTGTAATGTGCTGCTATCCAATTAATGTAAACTTGATAATTGTGACTATAATTATGAATAGAAATGATTCCTCTAGGGTGTCTAGAGAGACTAAATTATCGGTTCTATCTAGCACATTAAATCGATTTGGTCAGTGAACCGTTGATCTGGAGTCAGACTGTCAAACCATTCGACTCGGGAACGGTTTTGACCATTTTTGAGGTTTTTTAAAATTTTAATTTCTTTTTATTTTTCTGTCAAAACAGGCTGTCCGTTTGGAATAGACGGTTGGACCATTCAACCTGGGAACCGGACCACAGAACGGTTCCCCGTCCGGTTTCCCTATTTAGACATGGAGAAAGCTCATTGGCAAGAAAATAAAAGGAAATGAAAAGCAAAATAGCGTATTATAGAATCATTCGTTGCTTTGGCAAAAGGGCATATCAATGTGGCTGCTGGGATTCGAGCCCAGGTCTCCACGGCCACAACGTGGAATTCTTACCACTAAACTACAGCCACACAGTGGTTGAAACTTAGACTGTATTCAATTTGAAAGGAAAAATAGGGAAATTTCAAGCTCAAAAACCTTGCCATGCACATGAACAGCATCAATAGCTCTTCTTGAATAAATTCAATATAAAGAGTTAAAGGGGCTTAAAGCTAATTATTGGCTTGGCTACGACCTACGAGGTTATATATAAGTGGAAAAGGAATTGAAGTTCATTGTGGATGGGTTGAAAGATGATGAAGACCCCCAGGCCCAGGCCCATGGAGATGGAGTGTGGGACCACTTGTTGAGGATTGCCAATAGTATTGCTTTGCTTTGCGGTGGGCCAGTGGCAGTAGTTGCTTCAAGTCAGCACGAGATGAAATTAAATGATAACCGAGATGTTCCTGATATGTGGCTGTCGTAGTGTCTTGTGAGTGGTGTAAGATCCGCTCGTCCCACGTGGCTACGATGAGAAGTGCTCCGTGGCTACACAATACAAATGCCTTTCTCTGGTACATCTTCATCTCCTCATCTCGTCAAATTATTTTTCTTCAAACTCAGATACCAAACCCACGAAAACGGCTTCGCATTTGTGCTCAGTTGATAAAAATTAAATTCCAATTAAAAGAAAGAAGATACGAAAGAAGGAAGTTGAGAACTATTTGATAAGTTGCGTTTATAATCTATTTCAACACCAACCTTTTTGAGGGTTTTGGAGAGTATCAGAAATCCCAGAAACCTTGGAGGAGCTTCTACTGTATTTTATTTTTTTAATACTTCTTTCCGATCAAACCTCAGGGTTTGGGGGGATACTAGGGTTTGGTGACAATGTCTGCAGGAGTTTGCGGCAAGCGTCTGGGTTTCGAAGAAATCTTCGGATCTTCGACGCCGTCGTCGTCGGCCAAGAGATCTAGGTATTCTATTTTTGGTTCTCCGATCCGTTCGGCTGATTTCGGGTTCGGATCTGATGATAACATCTTGACTTTGCTCCGTATGTTCCCTGCCATGGATCGTGAGGTACGCTTGCTGATGAATTGGTTCTTTCTGCGTTTCCATGTGCTGAATTTTAAATTTTGTAGTGAATTCCACTAACATGCTTGCTCCTTTTTTTGTGATCTTACTCATAATTAATTCAACGAAATTCTATGGTTACTCATGTGTATGTTTGGTTTTGATCGGAATCGAGTTCTTTCTCGTAGAAACAATTTTATTTGGAAGAATTAACTACTAATGTTATTTTGTAGTCTATAGTCATGCAACCTGTGTAATTGCATAGGAATTCATGTTCGGTTTGTGTTTAATTATTTAAAATTTTTCATACAAGTTTTTTCTTATTTTCACAAAATTTCAGAGCAAAGTTTGTTGCTTAAAAGCATATTTTTCTGTTTTTCTTTTTTGCTTTGGAGGCCTGGGAGGAGGTTGAAGAATAAGTCACGGCGTCTAATGAGGACTAAATCTACTTAAAAACTCCATGATTCGGCATGTTATTCTATTGCTGAATAGCCTTTGAATTTCAGATATTATTCATGCTTGAGTTTGCAATTTATTTCAATGCTTCTAGAGACTTTAGGGAGAATCAAAACTTGCGACCTTGTTGTCTGAAGTTGCATTGGAGTTCAAATTGACTTTACACTTTCTATGCAGATAATTTAGCTAGCTTTATAGGGCAAAATTCTGATTTTCTGTTTGAAGATGAACTGAGGTTTTAGTTTTAGTTTATATAATGATCTATGTGATTTCATCCCATCTTTCAGGAACATGAAGGGATGGTTTTATCACTTTTGTTATCAAAACGAATTTGATGCTTTGATCAACTCCTAGCATGACTGCTAATGGTGCTAAGCTTGTCTATCATGGATTAGAATTTTGATGTTAATGCTTTGGTCAACTCCTGCAATTATGTCCATTACGTCTCTCTGCATGATAAAATTTTATTCATTTGTTGCTTTGGGTTCTCTTTTACTTTTGAGGTTGTAAGCTTATAATCTTTCATTCTTGTTACTGTTTAGGTGGTGGAAACTATTCTCAATACTCACAATCATAAAATCGAAGATGCTATTGAGAATCTTCATGCTCTATCCCTTGCTGGTGGTTCTGCCAAAAATGGATCTCAGAGCCTTGATTCAACAGCAATTGCAAATGGCCCCAATGTTCCAGGTCAGAATGGGTTCTTGGATTCTATATGCTACAGTACCATTTCCTCCAGAGTGTGGGTAATAAAACTAGTTTATCTTCAGCAAATTACTTTTATGAGTCTTCTAAATCTCTTTCTTTCCCTGATAATTTTGCATGTCTATATCCAGATAATACAAATGGTCAGACATCAGAGCAGGAAATTGAAGACTTACGGGTTGATTATTCAATTAGTGAATCTACAAGCTCTACAGGTACAGATGGATCTAAGTGGGTAGATATTTTTGTTCAAGAAATGATGAATGCAACAGATCTCGATGATGCTAGGGGTCGTGCTGCTAGGATCTTAGAGGTTTTTGAAAGGAATGTTGTTGCTCATGCAAGGGCATTAGAAGAGGTACTCAGCAGTTTCCATTCAATTATTAGAGTTATTATGTTTCTTGAAATATTGAAGTGGGATATGCATATTTATTCTGCTCTCACCAAGAGCTCTTTTACCTTGGTTTGGTACCCTTTTCATGGAGCAGCAAGAGGTAGCTTCTCTGAGAGAACATCTGCAGAGCTTATTAAATGACAATCAAATACTAAAGAGAGCTGTTGCCATCCAGCATGAACGAAGTTTGGAGCAAGAGGAGAAGGTTAGGGAAGTACAAGAGTTGAAGCATATGATAAGTCAGTACCAAGAACAATTACGAACATCAGAGGTCTTTCTCTCTCTCTCTCTCTCTGCCATGCTAGAGATGCCTCTTTGTTAGTATGATCCTATACTACTGTGGGGATTAGGAAATCTGTGATCCTTCTCTTTAGGAAAGTTAGCTAAAAATAAAAGTGAATTATTTCTACTGAATGTGCTCAATATTGGGCAAACTCCATCGATCATTTTGGGCTGATCATAAGTTGGAAACTAGAGATTTTTGGGCCCGGCAATTCTGTGTTCCTAAAGTAGTCATTTGAATTCTTTGGCATTGGGACACAGAAATTGAATTCCTATCCATTTTTGCTCACTTATTCCAACACAGCCCTTTGTTGAAAGTTGGCCAAAGGAGGCTTCCTTATGGCAACTGTTCCTTACCCGTCTGATTTGAGCTGATACCAGGTACAGTAACATGCTACCAGTTAAATTTTCTTGATGAGTGTCGTATAGTTGTTCAAGGTGTTCAATTGGAAAGATCTGAAAAGAATTTTGCTTTAGTACCTGTCTTATGAAACATGACTAGTTTGCAGAAAACGACCAAATTGCAATTTTTTTCTATCAAGTAGATGATAATAAACAAAAATTGATAAGGGTGTTTTCATGTCGATCATCCAAGTTTTTTCTGAATTATCATGTGTATGGTATCACCAGCCATGTTGGTCCTCTAGATCCAACTCTCTCTATTAGAAAAAAGGTTAAAATTAAAAATGAAGGATTGGCTCCTTTTTTTTTATCATATGAAAGTTGTTTGGGACTGTACTTCCTCCAGCCTTGTCGTGTCCAATCATTTTCAGTTCCTTGCCCAATGTCCTGAACGTTGAAGGTTGAACTAATAAATAACTGGCTGACAAACGTGAGAACAGAATAGCGGGACCAACATTGGGTAATTGCCTTTTTAGAATAATCTGTGCGGATACTGACAGATGAAACTTATTTTATTTGGTGCAGCTTAACAATTACACACTGAAGCTCCATCTACAGAGGGCACATGAGTATAGTTCCAGTCCAGGGCATTTTCGTCCAGATGTGTTTTAAGCCTGTCACTCTTGAGCGTATTTTCCCTGCATTTGCTCGTGTATTTTACTTCATATTGTTGATACTGCAAAAAATTGTGAGCCGACGTGGAAATTGTAGTTCTGCTTCTGCATGTTAACCAATGCTGACGAGATCATCCATCCACTTTTGCGTCTTTCTATATACAGTTGCGGCAATTTCGGTGTTTGAGTTACTCAGCTGGTTATTTGGCAAGTGTCAAGTTGCTAGTCATTTTAAAATAGAAAATTTATTTTGTTTTAGAGTGCCTGAATCAGTTATACTCACAGCTTGTTTCGCAGTAATGTAAATTTGAATATTTGATTGACAAAGAGGAACTGCCTGGCCTGTAATAGTTTGTAAATTATATTTCTTTTAACGGGAGAAAGGATTTTGAGATGAATGTTTTCTTAGAAAATTTCGTCTTTTGTTTTGTTTTCTTTTTGAAGGGCTAGGCTACGACCATGGTTTTCAAAACCGGACTGGATGGTTGGACCAAAAAAACCAGGAACCAGTCAGGTGACCATTCTGTTTTTTTCCAAAATTGGATTTTTCTTAAAAACTGTTGATTTTGGTTAGCAAATCGCTGATCCGGGTGGTTAATCGTTTGAACGGTTTTGACTGTTTTTTATTTTTTTTTGTCAAAATGGGTTAACCGTTTGGTTTGAATGGTTGAATTTTTTGACCCAGGAACCGGACCCCTTACCGGTTCGTTCTCTGAGTCAGTTTTAAAACCTTGGCTTCGACTAGACCAGCAGGAGACCCTACCAACCCGCTGGTTGGCACCTTTCGTCTGTTGGTTTTTTTATTCTGATTCTTCTAATAGGTTCTATTCAACGTGGTTATATGTGACTATGGGAGTTATGGCTCCAGCTACCTAAGAGGCAAAAAGAAAATTGAAAACGATTGTATACACAACCCATTCGAGTTCTAAAATTGGGGTGAGGCAAGTTGTTTGCTTGTTGCACTTGCATCTGTTCTCCAGATGAGGCTAATAGGCTGTAAAAGAGAAGGAATGAAAATGGAGCACTTTCGTTCATCTCTGGGTAGAGGTTTGTAACCATTTCTGAAATTCTCATTGTACTAAATTAATTGGCTTTTTGCAGAGACTCAGCTTGTTTGAGTTGAACTTGGGTTCGTTTCGTTGCCATTTGTGCAGGTAGGTAAGAAAACTATGAACAGGATAAAAACCGGACAACTGCTGTCTGCGGGGTGGGTCAGTATTAATCTGTAGCAGGGGAACCACCCTTTTATATGCTTTGGGGCAGTTTTAATCCGTGGGAAAGCACCTTTCTTTATGGAGAGCCGAATAGGTAAAAAAAAAGAGGGTGATTTTATTGATAGTTGGACCAACCTTTCCCAAAAAACCTGCAACCGAAGGTTGTGCATTAGACATTTGAATATGATTTTCAATAAAGATGAAAAATGGGGAGGGAGACCATGCAGAAAGTCAGAAGTTGATAGAAACAAGAGCTTGTTAAACCAACTGGGTTTAGAAGAAATAAATAGTGGAGGGCCAAAGTTCACTTGGAGTAACAAGAGGAAGGGTTGGGACTTGTGAAGGAAGTCCTAGACAGGGCTTATGCGACATAAATTGGAGGAATAAATTTAAGGATGCCTGGATCAATCATTATGTAACAATCAGTTCTGATCACACCCCCATTATTCTGGACCTAGAGGTAAACCTCTCAAAGAAAGGAAGATCTTTCAGATTCGAAGAAATGTGGACAACCCATAGTGACTGCCCAAAACTAGTTGAAGAATCTTGGATTGAGGAAACTGGTGAAGGAGTTCAGGAGAGCATAAATAAGAAAAGTTCTAAGGAAATGGAACAAAGAAATTTTTGGTAATGTCCGGTGCAGGATTTCTGAGATCAGAGATAATCTCCATCAAGAGCTCTCTAGAAGCCAGGTTGATTATGACAGTCAAGATTAAGAAGTTAGAAGGAGAGATGGAAACTCTGTTAAAAATAGAGGAAATACTTTGGGCCCAAAAATCCAGAGCAAATTGGCTAAAGTGGGGGGATAGCTGAATAGAAACACTAACTATTTTCATAAAGTCACCTTGAATAGGAGGTCGAGGAATAGAGTAATGAAATTAAAAGATAAAAATGGTGATTGGGTTGAAGGTCAGGAAGCAATTTGTAAAGTTTTTGTTGAACACTTTAGTAGAAATCACTGATTGCAGATTTAGTTGAATTTCTTGTGAAGGGAAAGAGGAGGAAGATGAAGATTTCAGCAGTAGAGAAGAAAAGAGTAGGAAGTCAACCAGGATTCTTAGATAAACCCTAGCCGCCAACCCCTCATTATAATTTATACTTAACTTAAAAGGATGAGATATTACAAGGATGCCCTTAGTAGGGTGGCTACTAATGTAGCTAAATAATCACAACTTAAAAACATAAACTAATGGGCCTAAAGCCCAACAACTTCCTAACTAAATAACTTAAAATAAGAATAAAAACAACTAGGCCCAATTCAACACTCCCCCTCAAGTTGGGAGTAAACGTCACACATTCTCAACTTGCGTAGATCATGCTCCAGCTTGTTCTTTGCAACACYTTTTGTGAGAACATCAACGAGCTGCAAATCAGAAGCAATGTATGGAAGACAAACTTCTCCAAAAGTCACTATTTCTTTGATAAAATGTCTATCCACTTCAATGTGYTTAGTTCGGTCATGCTGGACTGGGTTATGGGCAATGTTAATTGCTGTCTGGTTATCACAGTACAACATCATAGGCTCTTCTGCCTATACACTAATTTCTTCTAATAGGGAACGGATCTAGAGAAATTCTAAAACTCCACGTGCCATGGCCATGTATTTAGCTTCAACACTTGATCTTGCAACCACTGTTTGTCTCTTACTCTTCCACGAGACAAGGTTACCCCCAACAATGGTGCACACTCCTGAAGTTGATCTCCTGTCATCAAGGCATCCTGCCCAATCTGCATYTGTATAAGCCTCTAGTTTCAACTGTCAATGATCAGTAAACAATATGCCTCTTCCCGGGTGTCCCTTCAGATAAGCAAGAATCTTGTCAACTGCCTTCCAATGCTGGACTCATGGAGCATGCATGTATTGACTTACCACACTTACTGCATAGGAAATGTCTGGTCTTGTCATACACAAGTACAACAGCTGACCCATAAATCTCTGATATCTCCGAATGTCCTTTATTGGCTCACCTTCTGATGCATTGATTCTATGGTTTTGATCAATAGGGGTACTGATTGCCTTCGTTCCAAGCTTCCCTGTCTCTTGATGAAGATCCAAGACATACTTCATTTGAGAGATAAAAATTCCATGTTTTGATCTTGCAACTTCAATGCCTAAGAAGTATCACAATTCTCCAAGATCCTTAATTTCAAATTCTTTATGTAGATTCMTTTTCAGACAATCAATCTCACTTAGGTTATTCCTCGTGACAACAATATCATCCACATAAACATTTAAGACTGACACCAAAGATCCCCTTCGCTTCACAAACAAGGTATGATCGGATTGAGTCTGAGTGTAGCCAAAAGCATTCAAGGCCTTTCTGAATCTGTCAAACCATGCTCTAAGAGATTGTTTCAAGCCATAAAGTGACTTCTTAAGACTGCATACATTTCCCTTTTCAGCGTCATTGTAGAATCTAGTAAGAAGATCCATATACACTTCATCTTACAGATCCCCATTTAGGAAAGCATTATTCATATCAAGTTGAAATAAGGGCAAGAGTATGAAGCAACAAGAAAAAGAAGTATTCAAACAGAAGTCATCTTTGCAACCGGTGCAAAGGTCTCTAAGTAATCAATGCTATAGGTCTGTGTGTACCCTTTTGCAACAAGTCTTGCCTTGTACCTTTCTATACTTCCATCTGCCTTATATTTTACTATGTAAACCCATTTGCACCCAACTGTCTCCTTGCCCTCTGGTAGATCCACAATGTCCCATGTCTGATTCTTAATCAAAGCTGCCATCTCTTCCTACATAGCTGTCTTCCACTCAGGTTTGGAGAGAGTCTCACTAACACCCTTGGGTATAGACATAGAGTCAAGAGAGGAAAGAAAAACACGGTATGAAGGAAAAAGTCCAATGTAGGATAAGTACTGTGAAATACAATGAGCAGTACACTTTCTCTTCCCTTTTCTGAGAGTAATAGGAAGATCGAGGTTATCTGTAACAGAGTCAGTAGAATCAATGGGAACTGAAATAGTAGCGGGACCAAGAGGAATACCTGAATCCATGTCAATTAAATCTGGAGTCTCTAAGGAACCGACAGGAAGTGATGTGAGTTCTGCTGTAGTGGAATCAACTTCCTTGTGAAGTATTTGTTGTAAGTAATGCTGAGAAGCAGGACGCAAAGGAGGTGGTAAGGTAGGTGACACAGGAGGTGGTAAGGTAGGTGACGCAGAAGGGTCAAGCACAGGAGTAGACACAGGGACTAGAACTGGAAGAGGAATAGACTGCTGACTCCCTTCCCCAAAATACTCCCCCTAAGAAGGATTCTTTGAGAAGAAGTATGTGGATTCAAAAAAGGTGACATCCATGGTAACATATTGGATCCTAGAGACTGGATCATAGCAATAGTACCCTTTCTGATTTTTTGCATATCTAAGGAAGACACACTTTTTTGCCTTGGGATCAAGCTTTGAGCAATGAGGACCAAGGATATGTGCAAAGCAGACATACCCAAACACCCTGAGAGGAATATGAAACATCTCCCCCTCAGGAAAAAGGAGACTGAATGGGGTGCTGAATCCAAGTATACGAGAGGGGACCCTATTAATTAGATATACTGCTGTGATAACTGCATCACTTCAAAACTGAACTAGAAGTGTAGATGTGATCATCATGCTTCTTGCAATCTCAACAATGTGTTTGTTATTCCTTTCTGCAACACCATTCTGCTGTGGACTATAAGGACAACTGCTCCTGATGGACAACACCATATTCTAACAGATATGAGGCAAGGTGTTTTTCAAAATATTCCTTGGCATTGTTTGATCTGGACACCTTTATTCTTGTTCCAAACTGTGTTAGCACCATCTGATGAAATTGCCTCACCAAGGATAGTACTTCATTACGGGATCTCATCAGGTAAATCCAAGAGTATCGTGAGAAATCATCTACAAATAAGAGAAAATATTAATAGCCTCGCATAGAAGGAACATGGTAAGGCCCCCACATATCAGAATGAATAACATCAAAAGAAGAAGAACACCTTTTATTACTAGGTTTAAATGAATGTCTACAATGCTTTCCAAGTTGACAACCTTCACACTCCAGACTTCACAAACTAACAAATTCAAAAAGTTTTGGAAACAAAAGACTTAAAGAAGAAAAAGGTAAATGGCCCAAACGATTATGCCAAAGCATAATTTGACCCATAGACCCTGACTCACTATCCCTACTGGCAGAATGACTTTGATGAGGAAGAAGCACATCTAGGAGGTAGATCCCATTCACTTCACGACCACTCCCAATCGTCCTCCTGATCCTGCAAAATACAATGACCAGGAGAAAAATTTAATGAGCAGCTCAGGTTCTTAATCAAACTACTAACAGATAACAAATTAGTGCTCAATCTGAGAACATGAAGGACAAAGGAAAGAGAAATAGAATCACTAATCTTGACAGGTCCCTTCCCAGTAATGGGAACATGGGATCCATCAGTTGTGGAGACCCTATCTCTGTCAGAACAGAGCTGGTAAGAAGAAAAAATAGTAGAGCTATGGGTCATGTGCTCTGAGTCTCCAGAATCTATAATCCAAGAAGGTCCCTCCTTACCTGAAGTAGAAACATAATTTCAGTGGCGTGTGAACTACTTGTGTGAACAAAGGAAGTGGTGGCAGCCATACCCTCCTGTATATCTTGTTTTTTAATCCCAAAGAAAGTTTGTGAAACAATTAAAAATGCACAGAGGGATTCTGGTGGGGTTCCTCCAATCAGAAAAGGAAAATTCATTGGACCAATTGGGACCAGTTAAGCAAGAACGAACTAAATAGAGGTCTTGGCTTTAGAGATCCCCAGGTCTTCAACAAATCCCTTCTAGATAAGCTAGCTTGGAGACTGATTTCAGACCAAGCCAGCCTATGGGCCAGGGTAATCGAAGGAAAATATCTGAGGTAAGAGCATTCAAGATCCAAATCTCCCAACTCAAGGCTCATGGGGATGGAAGAGTGTTTTAGTTGGGAGAGAAGTCTTAATGGATGGAGTTTGTTGGGGTATTGGAAATTGGGAGAGCATAGATATATGGCAACACCCTTGGATTCCAGGGCTTCCAAACAGAAGAATTATAGGTCCAAGTCCTAACAGGCCAGGGATTCAAAAGGTTAGTGAGTTAATTCTGCCTGCTGGAAGGGGATGGAATAGAAGAGTAATTAAAGAAAATTTTCTTCCTGAAGTAGCTAATCAGATCCTAAATATCAGATTAGCAACACATAATTGGGAAGATAAAATTTTTTGGTGTCCACACCCCCAAGGTAAGTTTATAGTAAGGTCTGCCTATTTCATTACAAAGAGTCAACATAACAGAGTTTAAGTAGGGTAAGAAGCACTGCCTGAAGATAAATCTCTTTGGAAATCCATATGGTCTCTACCTGTGCAACCAAAAATCAGAACTTTTATTTGGAAAAGCTGTTTAATTGCAGTCCCAATCAAATCCCTTCTGCAAGCCAAACACATAATAACCGACTCCACCTGCACTATTTGTGGCCAGCAAGAGGAAACCTTGACCCATATTCTTCTTAGCTGTGACCTAGCTCGTTGCATCTGGTATGGTTGTGGTTTAGGAATCAAAATGACTGTCCTAAACTTAAATGTTTCTTTTAAAAGGTGGTATGTGAACTGGCTTAAGATTTGTAACGACAGTGGAGACCAGAAAGTTGATTTGTTAATGCTTTCAGCAATTATGCTTTGGACTTTATGGCTTACAAGGAATAATTGCAATTTCAATATTGAGAAACCTTCTCCTGCTCATATGTTAACTCTGATTAACAGATTATACTTGGAGCAGAAAGATCATTTCAGGAAGGAGCATCATCAAGCGCTCCGTTCTAATGCAACCAAGCCTTGTCTTTGGAAGCTGCCAAAGCTGAACGAACTGGATCAAGCTAAATGCTAATGGAGCCTTCCTTGGTCCTGGACGTGCAGCTTTTGGTGTAATTACTCGTGACTCTAGTGGTTGTTGTGTAGCTGTGCATTATGGGCCTAGTGCAGCTAGTTCATCGTATCTTGCTGAAGCTGTTGCAGTTCTTGAAGCTATAAAACTAGCTAGAAGATTGAATTTTGTTAGAATTGAAGTTGAAAGTGATTGCAAACAGTTGGTCTCCTTTTTGACTAAGTCAAGTGACTCCTGTCCTTTGGAAGTCTTCTTTTGTGCAAAAGATTATATTGCTCGGTATAGAAGTGTTCTGGATATATATATCCTTTTGCTGGATTAGTAGGCAAGCAAACAAAGCTAAGCTGCACATAGAGTTGCATCTCAAGGGCTGAATGAATCAGCCACTTTTACTGATTACACATCAGACTGGTTTTTTTTTGTCGATGGTGCTTCCTCTTCCTCTTGCGTTTCTTAGTTTTCAGTCTTTTTAGTTTGTAGTTGTCTTTTCTTACCTTGTAGTTTCTTCGGCTCCTTAGCCTTTGTAATCTGTTTTGGTGTCTGTATTTTATTTCTGTTTTGGCTTTTAATGATGAATCCTGTTTTCCACCAAAAAAAATTATATATACCATACATCTTTCATCTAGGAATAATTCATAATCGGTTGGTTAAAAAAAAAAAAATCATAATCGTTTGGACTCGTTGTCTGTGGACATGGAATCATCTTGAAATATGCCATTCCAACGGCTGGGATCATAAATTATTTATTCTCATCTCCCAAGTTCCAATCCATGTCAACTTCTCTTCGCGATAGTTTGCCGTCTGCGGATGCAAACGCCAACCCACGTCAGATTTCGAGTAGTGGACGACACTCGACAGTCTACAGTCTACACACTCATCTTCTAATATAAAACAGAGAACCTAGAAACTCTGGAAAGATCATTGCGAGCTGGTAACTTTAATCTCCTGTACACTCCTCTCAGGTCAGTATTTGACATGTTCGATTTAGCGTTCCTCCTGAATATGAGTTATATGTATCTGAAATTCTGAATATCTGATAAAGCTCAGAATTTTATTTATTTATTTTGGATTGTTTGCTTTCATTGTGCAGGATACGGTTCAATAGAATAGCTTTTGTAAAATAGATAATATAAGGTTCTTCTTTTTTTGCTTGATTTTCAGCCTTTTTCTATTTTATTTCTGTATTTTTCTTTTCAGGTTTATCACTTCTTGGTAAAACCGTAGGCAAGTTAAGTTAGCGCTGAGAACCAGTTGCAAAGGTCTGGAATCAGGAAAATGGGGAGTCTAAATGACGAAAAGTTCAGGTTTTGTATTGACAGAGGGGGGACGTTCACGGACGTGTATGCTGAAATTCCAGGTCGATCAGATTGTCGGGTGATGAAGCTCTTGTCTGTCGATCCCTCCAATTACGACGATGCTCCGGTCGAAGGGATACGGAGAATTCTGGAAGAATTTACTGGGGAGAAAATACCACGGAATTCCAAGATTCCCACGGATAAGATAGAGTGGATTCGAATGGGCACAACTGTGGCTACCAATGCTCTTTTGGAGAGGAAAGGGGAGAAGATTGCTCTCTGCGTCACTCGGGGCTTCAGGGATCTGCTTCAGATTGGCAACCAGGCTCGGCCCAATATCTTTGACCTCACTGTTACCAAGCCCTCCAATCTTTACGAGGAGGTTATAGAGGTTGATGAGAGAGTCGTTCTCGCTCTTGACAAGGAAAAGGAGAATCCGGATTCCAGTCTTAATTCATCGTCATTCGTTAAGGGGATCTCGGGTGAGTTCATCAGGGTTGAGAAGCCTCTCGATGAGGAAGCCCTAAAGCCTTTGTTGAAAGGGTTATTGGAGAAAGGGATAAGCTGTTTAGCAGTCGTACTAATGCACTCATACACCTATCCTCAGCATGAACGTTTGGTCGAACGACTGGCTCTGAGCATGGGCTTCAGGCACGTTTCTTTGTCTTCGGCTTTATCTCCTATGGTTCGAGCAGTGCCTCGTGGTCTAACGGCCAGTGTGGATGCTTATTTGACCCCTGTTATTAAAGAATACTTATCACGGTTCATATCCAAATTTGACGACGGGCTTGGAAGGATCAATGTTTTATTTATGCAATCCGACGGAGGGCTCGCTCCGGAGAGTAGGTTCTCTGGTCACAAAGCTGTCTTGTCGGGCCCTGCTGGTGGGGTTGTGGGTTACTCACAGACTCTTTTTGGGCTTGAAACAACGAAGCCCCTTATTGGTTTCGACATGGGTGGCACGTCTACGGATGTTAGCCGCTATGCTGGGAGCTATGAACAAGTTCTAGAGACCCAGATTGCGGGTGCCATAGTTCAGGCACCTCAGCTTGACATTAACACTGTTGCTGCCGGTGGTGGCTCAAAACTTAAGTTCCAATTTGGAGCTTTTCGGGTAGGACCTGAATCAGTTGGTGCACACCCAGGTCCTGTTTGTTACCGAAAGGGAGGAGAACTGGCAGTAACAGATGCGAATCTGGTTCTTGGAAGAGTCATTCCTGATTATTTTCCATCAATCTTTGGGCCCAATGAGGATCAACCATTAGATGTGCAGGCTACCAGAGACGAATTCAAGAAGCTTGCAAATGCGATTAATTCATACAGAAAGAGCCAGGATCCATCGACGAAGGACATGACGGTGGAGGAGATAGCTCTTGGATTTGTGGATGTAGCTAATGAAACAATGTGCCGCCCAATACGGCAGTTGACGGAGATGAAGGGCCATGAGACAAGGAACCATGCGCTTGCATGCTTCGGAGGTGCTGGACCACAACATGCCTGTTCAATTGCCAAGTCCCTGGGCATGAACGAAGTGCTGATTCATAGACTCTGTGGGATTTTAAGTGCATATGGGATGGGTTTGGCTGATGTTGTTGAAGAGTCGCAAGAGCCATATTCTGCCGTTTATGGACCTGAGTCTGTCCAGGAGGCCTCTCGTAGAGAAGCTGTTCTTTTGAAGCAAGTACGGCAGAAACTTAGAGAACAAGGTTTTAGAGATGAAGACATTACTACAGAGACATATCTCAACTTGAGGTACGAGGGTACTGACTCTGAAATCATGGTGAAGAGACCAAAAAGTAGTGAGGGTTCTGAAGATGATTATGCCACTGAATTTGTTAAGCTTTTCAAACAGGAATACGGATTTAAACTACAGAATCGGAATATCCTTATCTGTGATGTGAGAGTTCGTGGTACAGGAGTAACTAATATTTTGAAGCCTTGTGCATTAGAACCTGCTTCAGGTAGTCCTCAAGCTCAAGGCCATTACAATGTTTATTTTGGAAAAGGATGGCACAAGACCTCATTATTCAAACTCGAGAATCTTGGTTATGGGCATATCTTGCTAGGCCCTACAATCATCATGAATGGTAATAGTACTGTGATTGTAGAACCTGGGTGTAAAGCCATTGTCACCAAATACGGGAACATCAAAATTGAGATCCAATCAGTTCCAACCACTGTTAAAGTAGCGGAAAAGGTGGCTGATGTTGTCCAGCTTTCAATCTTCAATCACAGGTTTATGGGCATAGCTGAGCAGATGGGACGAACCCTACAGAGAACTTCCATTTCAACAAACATCAAGGAGAGGCTTGATTTCTCTTGTGCTCTGTTTGGTCCAGATGGAGGATTGGTTGCTAATGCACCCCATGTCCCTGTCCATTTGGGAGCTATGTCCAGCAGTGTTAGATGGCAGATCAATTGCTGGGGTGATAATTTGCACGAGGGAGATGTTTTGGTCACTAATCATCCCCGCGCAGGAGGAAGCCATCTTCCTGATATAACTGTTATTACTCCTGCTTTCAGTGATGGGAACCTGGTATTTTTTGTGGCAAGCAGAGGGCATCATGCAGAAATTGGGGGTATAACTCCAGGGAGTATGCCACCCTTCTCAAAGTCCATATGGGAAGAAGGTGCTGCAATAAAAGCATTCAAGCTTGTAGAAAAGGGAATTTTCCAAGAAGAAGGAATTACCAAACTTCTTCAGTTCCCCTGTTCTGATGAATCAGATTGTAAGATCCCAGGAACCCGTAGGCTTCAAGATAACTTATCTGACCTGCAAGCGCAAGTGGCTGCAAACCAGAGGGGAATATCACTTATCAAAGAACTTATTGAACAGTATGGTTTGGATACAGTTCAGGCATACATGAACCATGTGCAGGCAAATGCAGAAGAAGCTGTGAGGGTAATGCTCAAGTCAGTGTTTGCTAGAATTGCAGGTCAGTCGGCTGATGTTGGGCAGAAAGATTCTGTGGCTATTGAAGAAGAAGATTATATGGATGATGGGTCTATCATACACTTAAAGCTTACGATTGATTCTAACAAGGGTGAAGCTACTTTTGATTTTGGTGGGACAAGCCCTGAAGTGTATGGGAATTGGAATGCACCAGAAGCAGTAACAGCTGCAGCAATCATATACTGCCTACGCTGTTTGGTTGCTGTGGATATTCCTCTAAATCAAGGTTGTCTGGCTCCGGTTAAAATCCATGTCCCTACGGGTTCATTTCTGTCTCCAAGTGATAAAGCTGCTGTTGTGGGAGGCAATGTTCTAACATCTCAGAGAATTACTGATGTTGTGCTTACTGCATTTCAGGCCTGTGCATGTTCTGAGGGTTGTATGAATAACCTAACTTTTGGGGATGATTCTTTTGGTTATTATGAAACAATCGGAGGTGGGTGTGGGGCTGGTCCAAGCTGGGATGGAACTAGTGGTGTCCAATGTCATATGACCAACACCCGCATGACTGATCCAGAGATTTTTGAGCAGCGTTACCCAGCTATATTGCATAAATTCGGTTTTCGAGAAAACAGTGGAGGTGCTGGATTTCATAGAGGAGGAGATGGGCTTGTAAGGGAGATAGAGTTCCGGCAACCAGTTGTGGTAAGTGTGCTTTCAGAAAGGCGTGTTCATGCACCAAGAGGGATGAACGGAGGCAAAGATGGGGCTCGTGGGGTTAATTACCTTATTAGAAATGACAAACGCAAGGTTAACCTTGGAGGTAAGAACACAATCAAGGTGCAGGCAGGGGAGATACTTCAAATTTTAACCCCAGGTGGTGGTGGCTGGGGTTCTTGTCCTTGATTCTCTTTTATGTGAGACTTTTAAATTGTCAGTCCCTTCTGATCCTGGCAATGGTTTGTTTTTGCAGAGAGCTTCCTGCTGAACTTTAGAAATATATGATAAGTTCGTATTAATGATTTAGAAATTATGGCCTTATTTGTGTTGCTTGTAACTTGGTATGCTAGTTATATGATGTTGACTTGGTTTTAGAAATTTCAGCAAAATAATGGCTTTCTGCAACCCTACAGAAGATAATCTCTAATCTCTAATCTCTCATTCTCTCTTGTATTGATGTTATTACTGATTTTCTCCATATTTTTGCAATTCTTTTTCTCTTTGCCATCCCCCAAATCCCAAGCAGGAAACCATTTATTTCTCTTACCTAGAGTCTGCATCAAGTTGGCTCAAGCTGAATCGCTATTTGTCTAAGCAATACCCAAAATATGAAAAAAAAAACAATAAATTGCAATAAATAACATCTTATAATTCAAAATGCAAGTATCAAAATTGAAAATTCATAAATTAATGAAGGAGGTTAAAGGGATATTCACTACAGGGAGACGAAGTTTTTCCTGGCAGTTTCTTAGCAGCATTCATAAGAAAATTCTGGTACAAATGTGTTCAAAACGTGATGACTATTATTTAATAAAAATAATATTTTTACCAGCAATCAGTCATATCTATTGGTAAGGTCAAAGAATGACAGCCTCAAACTAACACACCTAAAAATTAAAAAATACTACCTGCAGGCCCACTGAGACTGAGCTAATTGATTGGCTATTACAAAACCCTTTTCTTCCTTTCCCTCTTATTTTCCCATTTTCCACCAAACCCTAACCAGTATTGCCACCACACTAAAACACTGTTAGAGGAGATTTATCACCACTGCTGCTGGTATTCCATCTTGCGTTCACCGGACCTACCTAGAGGAGATTCACTGCCAGTAGGTTTTGCTGCATAGGTATTTTCATTGTTATCTCATTTTAATTATTTTATTTTATAGTTTTATTTATACAGCTTAGAAGTTCTATTCTTTTCAATAGCTGACTGCTTATAGCTATAAAAAGCATTGCTCTTACATATCTTTCCATTGATTGTTGATGGAGCTTCTTATTCTTCTATTAGTTTGCTGCTTTTAGAAATTTCTGGTTGCATTAGAACTGCATTGATCCTGAGTAATGAAAAAGAAATGAGAACCATCTTTTCACTTCTTTAATTTTTCTTTTCTAGTGGAACTCTTCTCATAGCTAGTGTATTGGCAGACTTAATAACCCACTTGAATGGGTTATTCAGGCTGGTAGCTAGTGATTTGGCCTCAGAATATAAGCCTCGTATATAACCCACTTGAATGGGTTATACCAAGGCCTTTTGCATATAGATTGAATTCACCTCACCACTTTTCTCTTTTTTCTTAATTCCCTACACATTAGAAACTCCAGGTAATGTCCTTATGCCCATTACATGCAGATAGGAGGCCATAAACATGGAAATCCTTGATTTTTTACATTTTTCATATCCAAGGCTTATATTCTGCATGTGAATGAGGTTCTACTTTTTCCATCTATAATGCATAAGTTATTTACTTTGCAAGTAGATAAAAAATAAGTAAATTTCTTCAAGTTTGGTTTATTCCAGTACCATTCTGTTTACCAAAATCCCTTTTACAGTAGATCATCACCTTAATATCAAGTGGAACCTTGATTAAATTATTTATTATTTTATATTTGTCATTAATGTTCTTTCTATTAAAATATGTGAAAAAGTAAAATATATGGGTCTCATTTGTGGGAGTGGCATTCAAATGTCCCCCCCCCCCCCAAAAAAAAAAAAAAAGTTCTTGTTTTTCTCCATTAATAGAATGCAGAAACAGTGAAACACAAACATGGCCTCTTAGCTCTGCATAGGTAAACTGCTCCAAAGCCACTTTGTTCAATTTTTTTTTGGATCAGTAACTCAGGAAAAAAAAATCATTAAGCAAATTAAGGCAGCACAACAAGAAGTTGTGAAGGATACAATTAAACACCAAGTGTCTAAATCCCCAAAATATTACAACAGAGCCCAAAACATAGACTGTCTTTGTACCCCTTGTTTAGCTAAACTATCCGCCAAACTGTTGGCAGATCTTCTAACCCAGTTAACTTGAATAAACATGTCTCTGGAGAGCCATTTGAACCTCCTAAGGTCATTCCTTAGGTGCCAAGAAATTCCTTCCCCCTTCTTTAACCAGTCCACAACTGTTTTGGAAGTCATCTGTAGACTTGGGCAAGTTCTTCATATGAGAATTCCACTGATTTTCCAGTGATACTTGTGAGCCACAGGGAATCATCTCTCTCTCCAACAAGATGAACAGATTCAGTCTCTTTATCTGAGGCACTTTATGACCTAGACCCAACAAAATCAATTGTGCCTTTTTTTCTGGTATGCATATACATCAAGAAATATATGAACAGAACAAAAGATGCATGAACATAATGAACTTTAGAAAGAAAATGAAAAAAAAAAAAAAGATCTTAGTAAGGAACCTCCTTGAAACAAAGATCCCTTTGTATTGCATGAATTTTGACAAGACATAACAATCTACTTTTATTTTTTTATTAAAAAAAGATTAAATTCCATTGTTGAAAAGAGGGGAATCTGAACAAGCTACAAAATTTGAATAGGAAAATAGTGGAAAACCTTACAGCTTCACAATTCCGATGGGTCCTATTGTAATAGATGGCCATCTAATCAATTTAACCCACAGAAGGGATAGAAAAAACCAAAGTCAATCAAGTGCTCAGAAGGCAAGGTTGACTTTTTGACTAGAAGATCCCTAGGTGGCCATTGATATGCATTAAGGTATACTAAACAGATCCCACGGTATGAAAAAACCACAAAATATACCCATTTCACTATGTGATGAGACCACAATAGGTCAAACGTTCTTACCTCATGAAAGCACCATTACAGAGAAGCACATAAATAATTGTAAAGAAGGAGAAGAAAATGATATCCTCATTTCATTGTATAGTGGAGATTTTTTTTCTTTTTTTTTTTTTTTGAGGCTGTATGAGGGGTAGTAGATCCAAATGCTGGCTGGAAAATATTTGTCGGCCACGGTGCTTGGGGCTTTTTGTTTAGAATTTGAGTTGTAATATTTTAGAATTTTCCTGGGAAACACTTACCTGGGTAAGTGCATTTACCCATGTTCTTTTATTTGTCATGTAAATAAGGCAAAGTGATACCTAGGAAAATAAACTTTCCCTAGTCTCCACATAAATCTGAAAAAAGAACATGGGACTCTTGGTCAATGGGAACCAAAATCCCATTGACCAACTTTCCCCCCTCTCAAAATCCGAAAAAAGAACGCCCCCTTAGTGAATTGAGGGGTGCTATTTGTAGGGTGCTTCAGCTGCAAAGCTTGTATACTTCTATGAATTTCTCTTTTACTAATAAATAAATATGCCAAAGCATGTTACATCAATGACAAGGTATAAAGAGTATTGTATTAGGTGTGAAAATGGAGGTCTGTACATGGGGTGAAAATTCCACAAGAGAACTTTTAAGAAAGATAATTACAAAAAGAGGGCATTAGTTGAGATATTATCTGGAATTTTTCTAATTTGGGCTTTTTCAGTTGCTAGATTGATGGCATAGCCAAGTCAAGAATAATGTGAAGGATTGGAAACTTCAAGGTACAAATACCTATCTTCTTTCCTAGTCTTCTCTGTTCCATGGAAAAAGTCTGCCACTGCATGGCATTAGGTGATTATGTACAGTAGTACAATAGTAGGGCTACAGCCATGCAACAATATGAGCTACCTCATAGGAGTGGGCACTTGTCAGAAGTGACCATTTTGCCGCGCCTTCAAGTGCCATCACCACGCCCACAACATGCCATATGAGTGTCCAAGTATGTGTCTTGGGTGGGACATTGCATGTATTTTGTATGGGGGGATTGCCAATGGAATTATTATAATTTTGTAGTATGATTTTTCACCTTTTTGATGTTTCTTATTGTCACTCCCCCAAAAGCTTAACGTACACTTTGAGGGGAGGTAGGTAGTCGAGTGAGTCAATAGCGTGTAAAGGTTAAGCACGAGATCTCCTCGACACTGAACTGTGTGCTTGTGCTTACCATCAATCATTGCAATACAAATAGCCTTTTGACTAATTTGTGTGCCTTCTTGTTGCCTTTTGTATGTTGTTGCTTGCATTCGTAGGCTTTCTCGACCCCATCGAGCGCCGCACGGGGCCTTGTCGAATAGCCCCGTGACAATTGGTATCAGAGCAAGAGCTCCTTTCTAGCCATTCGACCCGCGACGCGAGTGACAGAATGAAACACAACAGGGACATCGTGGAGGAGATCAAGCATGGACTCTCCACATCCCATGAGCCCGATGATGCGCCTGCTGACGACATCGGCAAGGACAAGGCACCAAAGCCTAGCAAACGTGAGAAATCCGCCAACAAGAATGCAACCATTGATTTGCGCATGCTACATTACGAATCCACTGTAGGTGAGATGCGAGATTCGGTAGACGAGCTACACCAAAACATGGAAGCCATAGAGAGTACATTGGTGGAAGTGGAAGGCCGCCTAAGCAGAGTCGTGGGTGCGGTCCGTGACATATTCAATGGCATGCTCAAGGAAATCTGCAGCACCGCGTGCCAACAAGAAGGAAGCTCATCCAACTCGCATGTCCAAGACAAGCTTGACAGCTTTCAAGCCCAACTCGACGAGACGAAGAGAGAGTGGGCAACGTGGAGAAGAACCATCTCCCCATCAATGGCCACTCAGGCCGAACTGAATGAGATGAAGACTGAATGGGCAGCTTTGAAGTCCGCCCTAAACACCTACACTGATGTCCAAGCTCAACTTGAGGAAATCAAGGGGGAGTGTGCCATCATGAAGAGAGCAATTGCCAACCCGGCCAGCACCTCAGCCTTGCACACTCCTTCCTACATCAAGATTCGGGAGCCAACTCCCTATTCGAGCTCGCGATGCACGACAGCTCGACAACTTCTTGTGACAAATGGAACAATACCTTGTTGCAGCCAATGTGGTTGATGAAAGGACTCGGGTACGTACAACTACAATGTATTTAACTAATACAACTACATTGTGGTGGCGCAGAAAGTGTGTTGACATAGAACGCGGTAGGTGCACCATACAATCATGGGCCGATTTTAAGCGAGAGTTGAAGAGACAGTTCTATCTAGAGAATGTGGAGTTCCTTGCCCGTTGAAGGATGAAGTCCCTCAA